AAAGTTTGTCCTTGAATGAGATTAAAAATTATTCACTGCTCCAGAATTTAAGAGTTCCGGTTCTCTGCATCACTCCTTGTCGTAATTCTGAACTTCTCCCAAGGTTCTTCTGTAGTGTTTCCTAAGAACCTTTACTTTCTTTATTGATTTCAGATGCTCCATCTTGGCAGCCTTTATTGGCAGTTTGTTTTCTGCTCCAAATCCTGTTTTTTACTACTTTATTTTCTGCTTCATTAAAGCAACTGGAACTGAAGGATCTCTTAACTGCAGAGGCACGCGGTAAGATTCTTCCCCTCCCCGGCTTAGTTCTTGCTAATAGTTTTTTTACTCACTGTTTCTATGTTATTAATTTATTACATAACATTAATAATATTAATAGAACCCCGATGTTCCATTGCCCAGAGTGAGGTAGTAAAATCCTGAACTTTATTGTTTCAGAACACAATTGGAGTGAACAGTTTTGAATGCTGCTCTAATATCTATCTCTATCTATCTACTGTATCTACAGTATCTATCTATCTATCTCTATCTATCTACTGTATCTACAGTATCTATCTATCTATCTCTATCTATCTATCTATCTATCTATCTATCTATCTATCTATCTATCTACAAGTAGAAAATGAAAACTTCAAGGAGAACATTTCATTCATTCATTCTTCATTTATTGGTACAATTTAAAGGCTGCCCAACTCTGTAAAGCTTACAACTTTTAAAGCAAGAAAATGATAATACAGTAGTAAGAATGTAGATCTTATGGGTCCAAAATTTTATTTTCTCCTTGGACTCCTTTTTTTCTAGCTTGGAACGTGGTTGATAATTCCAAAATACAAATGTTAGTCTGTGGCTTGGAGTCCCCTAGTTCATTCTCCAAACCTGGGTCTCTTTTCAACCATTAGTTTGATAGAAGAGTAGGCAGCTCTTAAAAGTGGTTGCCGACTTGCAAACAGACGCACACAGATGGACTAATCAACTGCCCAACTCTGTGGCTGTGTTCGCACAGCACGTTTAACCTGGTTATTAGATTTGGCTCTGTTCGTACAACAGACTGAGCCATAAACTAAGAAAAAAGTCTGGGTTTGCCCACTACACTAAGCCACAGAAGAACAAGCCAAGGTTATATGAAACGCAGCCACTAGGTTTCTAATAGGAATGTGCACTTTTTGGATTAGGAGCAAAGTTGCTGAGGGCAAGAATTGGAAGTGCGGTTGGAAGAAGGGAACGCCAGTGGTCCCGCTGGGCGATGGTCTGGGGGGATGACCTTGGGAGATCGGAGGGAGAGCCACAGAGGGGACCGTGTCATGCAAAAGGTAACTCAGTCCACAGAAGGAGAGGAGATGTGGGAAGCGTTTCAGAAGGGACCCTCCCTAGTTTTCCGGAGAGTAAAAGAGGAGGGGAGAAACTTTCAGACCTGCAAGATTCGGTTACTGTAACCTTACAAGAAAGGTACTCATGGTTAGCACTTCTGGCCTGGACTACCTCGAAGGGCTGCCACGCTGCCACGGAGTGAGCACACTGATCTTAATGCAGAACCGTGAGACAGACCCCCGTCTTCCCCAGCTTACATATGACCAAGGAAGATGACCTTCCTTTCCCCAACCCACTGAGAAATGTGAAAGAAACCCCCTGACTTCTGGTGGAAGAGGCTCGAAAAAAACATCCTTCTTTCTAAGGAAGAATTTCCCAAACGTAGACAGTGGGGTTTTGTGTAGTGTTAGGCACATGAGGGGGGCAAGCTGCAGGCTGGACGGCATACAGGGGTGTCCCAAAATTAAGATTTCCCTTCTCTAGGGGTATCTGCTGAGAGGTGGGTCAAAAAAGTCAAGATGGCAGCCACAACTATGCAGTCAGATGCAATGCATGTAAGAAAGGAGCAGACTCCAAATGCCATTTTGATTTTTTTGACGTCCCTGACTGCATGCTTCTGCCCATTTTTTTTTAGACCTTTTATCCTGCGTGTATTATTTTTATAAATAACTCAAGGCGACGAACATCCCTGATCCTCCTCCCTCCTCCTATTTTCCCCACAACAACAACCCTGTGAGGTGAGTTTCTAGCCTGGAGCCTTCACCGCTAGACCAAATGTTGAGATTCATCGAGTTTCTCCCTGCCCGTCAAAGGTGGCTTCACCAGGTCATCTTTTTTGGTATTCAAGCTGAGGGTAGATCTGAGAAAGTACTTTAAAGTTCATCAGTTGGTTCATACGTCCCTGAAGACCACCGTTGCCTTTTTTGATGGCAGTCAGTTTTCTAAGACCTGTGCAACACCTGAGGGTGTGAAAGGCTGTGCTTTCATCTGCAGAAACGGTGGGAAGCCTTCTGCATGATTCCAGAAAGTATAAATGAAGTCTATCACAATTTATTGAGATATATGGCGACAGCAGCAAGAATTAATCTGGCCCAATGCCGGAAAAGAGAAAGGTTACGAGGACAGAGGATTGGGAGAGCGAAATTGGAGAATGTGCGCCAGTGGAGAAATTGACTATATGTGTGGGTGTGTGTGGGTGTGTATAATTCATAACCAAAGTCTAACCAAATTCAAGCAGGAACGGTTCCCTTACATACAACACACAGCACCGCAAGGTAAGCTAAACTGTTGAGAAGATGGCTGTGGAGGAAAAAAGAGAGGTAAGATTACAAAACGAGTGAAAAATGACTTAACGATAATTGCGAAAATTTAAAGCAAAATATAAATATGTAAGTAGCGGTCAATGGCTGGAGAAAAAAAGTGAAGGGAGAGAGTGCATATCGAATGCTTCTTTTTACAATGTATTTTTTAATTATTCTATATCAGTGTTTCTCTACCTTGGCAGCTTTAAGATTCGCGGACTTCAACTCCCAGAATTCCCCAGCCAG